AAATGAACTTGGCTGCTGATATCATCACTTCTTGCTTATATTTTAGTCTCTCTTGTGCCTTCCCTCTTTAAGCGATTGGCAGGCAGGGTGGCGGGGAGCTACATCGTTTTAGTTATCCATCGGCCTTGCGCACAACACATTCTCTTGATTTTCCTGGTTGCCCCAACAAGGAACTCGGTTAGGTATTTGTGGTCTAGGATAGCACTGAGCAGAATGGGGAAGTTCTGACTGCTCCTTAGCCGCAGCCGCTGTGCGCCAGGTGCTGCCCCAGGTGCTGCCCCGGGCTCTGCCTCACCTTGGAAAACTGTCCTTGGGAGTTGGGGTCGACAGTAGGGGTCGGCTGTGGATCCATCAGTCCCCCCTCAACATGTGAGCACGGTCACAGGCAGCTAGGGCTTGAGTAGCCATGGAACGTTCTGCCGCAACCCTAAGTCAGCTCGGGAGACCGGCCAGGGCCAAGGAGAGCCGCTTTGGGTTCTGGCCACGCCATTCCGAAGGAGAGCAGTTAAAATAATGGAAGTTGGAAGAGCAGACAAAGACAGGCCAAGGAGGTAAAAGCTCTTTCACAGAGAAACAGAGAGAGGGACTTGTCCTAAAGTGAGATGGGTGAAAGCGTTCCCACATGGTAGCTGTGTAGCCTTTGTTTGCACATTGAAAATGGCACAAGGAGGAGTATTTTAATGAGATGGCTCTTAGGCTGATGGCACCTCTGGTTGCAAGAATCATCAGGACTCCCAGGGCCCTCTGCCTCCAAGGCACTGCCAACATCTGCAGCTTGACCAAGGGTCAGACGGACCAAGATCCTCAGGGTGGGCAGAACTAGCTTATTTTAGGATGTTCGTGGTCAAAAGGGCCACCGACATGGGCCATTAGCAATGTTTGGCAGGTTTATAGAAAATGCAGTATGATTAGCCCGGTGTGGGAGACTTGGTAGGACAGGGAGAGAGGCTGTGAAAAGGAAAGGAAAGCAAAGCATCACGTTCCCCGAATGTGCATGCGTACAGCCCGCCAACGTCCTTCCCTCAAGGAAGGGGAGCAGCTCTCCTGCACTGCCGTTTTCTAGCTCGAGTTTCAGTTTATCACGGGAGACCAGCTCCCCCACATCCAGTCTGCAGGCACTGTCTCCCCGCTCTCTTTCTGTCGGCTCCTAACAGCGCTGTGCACTCGTGAGTAGAGCTCTCAGAAGGGACAGACTGAATTATATGCACCTCCCCATTCACTGTTATTTAAACAAAGACTGATAAGGAAGCAAAGGCGAATCTTACAGAACCATAGGATTATCTAGAATACCTGGATCCATGTGTCCAACTAAAATATAACACAAGTTAGCCCTGGCTGGCGTAGCTCAGTGGATTGAGCTCGGGCTGTGAACCAAAGTGTCTCAGGTTCGATTCCCAGCCAGGGTACATGCCTGGGTTGCAGGCCATGACCCCCAGCAACCGCACATTGATGTTTCTCTCTCTCTCTATCTCCCTCCCTTCCCTCTCTGAAGATAAATAAATAAAATAAAATCTTTAAATAAATAAATAAATAAAATGTAACACAAGCCACAAATGTAATTTGTAATTTTCTAGGAGCCACGTTAAAAAGAGTAAAATGCAACCAGTAAGAAGAACTTTAAGGAGGTATTTTATTTAACCCATGATTCCAAAATATTATCGCAACGTGTAATTAATATAAAAATTATTGGTGAGGTATTGTATACTCTGTTGCACACTAATTCTTGGAAATCTGGTGTAAATTTTACACATACAGCGCCTTGCAGTTCAGACTGGTTGCACGCCGAGTGCCTGGTGGGCACCTGTGGCTGTGGGCTGCCATGCTGACCAGTGCAGCTCTGGAAATAAATATTAAAAAATCGGTGAATTGCATTAAAAAGAACAGGCCAGACAGGGTGGAAATCCTAAATTATTTTGAGGGAGATGAGAACAAGACTAGACAGTTTTTATGAGGTGTATTTCTTTACCTGAGAAAACTATAATTATCTTCTAAGCAATGAATTAACATGAAAAATGGTATCCATTAGCAAATGCAGCCTCATATTATATGCCATTATACAACCTAACTTTAAATGTTTCACTTCTGTTATTGGTAATTTTGGAAGGTGTTGAATTTGGGGCAGTAAGCGTGGCTAAATACTACAGCTATAAGATTATCTCAAGTAGCCTGTCTTATCAAGTACCTAGTTGGCAGTCCAAAGAACAGGCAACTCGGTCCAGGGGCCTAGATACTGTTGACCTTTGAACAATGTGGAGGTTAGGGTGCTGACCCCAACCTAGTCAAAAATCTGCAGGTAACCTTTCACTCCCCCAGAACTGAAGTTGTCCCTCAGTATCTGCAGGGGATCAGTTCCGGGACCCCCACAGATGCTCAAGTCTCCTGTGTAAGATGCACAGATCCATGCATGCGGTCGGCCCTCTGTATTCGCAGACTCTCCATCAAAAACCGTACAGGTGTTTACTGAAAAATACCTGCATAAAAGTGCACCCATGCACAGCTCCAGCCTGGGTTGTTCAGGGGTCAGCTGCATGTGGCCTGGTGTTGTAGCATCTGCATGATGCTGCTTTGGAACAGGGCCCAGTTGGTTCTGCGTTCGACTCACCCACGAAGCAATCCCCTGTTGATGCGAGTCCCCCATCCCACGTCGCCCCACCCTTGAAGGTGTAAAGGGCACTGGCATCCCCAGCAGCCCAACACGGACGCCTCCCAAAATCACTGGTGCTTTTTTTTGTTCCTCTTTCATCCCTTATTCCCAATATTGGCTAATTTAGAGTGAAAGTAAGTTAATAAAAAAAAAAGAGAGTCTCTAGGGTGCTCTTTTTTCACCACTCCTGATCATGAACGTTTGCCAAGAGTTATATGACTCAGTACAGTTTTCTGTACTGGAGAGAAGGTTGATTCTAGTCTAGGCAGAAAACCAGAACTTGCCTTGGAAACCAGGGCACCCAGATCTACGGCGGGAGGTTGACGGAGAGCCTGCCGGGGCCCATCACGTACACTACATCCAGCTTACATTTGGTCCTAACTCACAGCCTCATTCGACCCTGGGGACCTTAGAGAACCCTCATATACTTTACGAGTACATGCCCAGCTGTGAAAGTGAGATAACCTCATGATTATGGTTTTGGTGGATGCCAATAGGAAGAAAAGCTTGTTGTGTCTGCTCCCACTTAGACCTGCCCGCGACTTGCTGAGCACCAATCCCAAATGCGGGCAAGCCTCCTCTGTGGCAAGTGTACCTCAGTGCCTGGCTGCTCCTTGGATTTGTGCCACACTCAAGTTGGAGCATGCTGTGTAGGGCAAGTGCATTTTAACTGCTATAACCAGCCCGTGTTTTACAGGCCATAAAGTTGTTACAGGGCACGCAGAAAGAATATTGCAAACGCTTAAAAAAAATTGTGGCAAACTTATGCCGTGTGGTAGTGGTTATGCTGATAAACTACTCATTTCCTACACATTTCTCACCATTCTTCCTCATTGACCCAAGTTAGTTCCTTAGATTCAGCAATTTTAATATTTGCATTATAAGTTGGCGCTCACATTTGCCACAGATACAGACTCTCTAGGAAAAGCCGGGACGTTGAAGGGGTGCAGACTAGATGGATTCTTTCTGTTCTAGAAATAGTGGTACCAGCTCTTTGATGATGTTTATTATAGAGTCAAACCGAATTCAAGTTCCTTTGGAAAAGGGATCATTAATCCGTAGTCTTGTTATTGTGTTGGTCTTGTTCGAACCTTCCAAACATGAGTCTCTCTCTTCCTAATTTCTAAACAAGCCCCATAAACATGGATGTTGGTGGGAAGGTAATCTACCGAAATGAAGCTGATTTCTTCATTCATCACACTGCTTGTTGCAAGGCCTTGTGTTTCCATAAACCTGGGATTCGTGGCGGGGGGGGTGGGGGGCGGGGAATGTCGATCCTCGCTTACAGATAAAGAAGTTTGGAGCTTTCTACTTCACCGAAATAGCTCCTGAAGGTTACATGCCACACAGAGCCCTTCTGGACCCAAGATTTCGGTGCTGTGGGTGCAAAGGGACCTTCTTCCCTTGAAGGCATTCCCTCCGCATGCCCTCTTCCAAACACCGACAGCCCCATTTCTTTAAAACGGCATAGTTTTCTCATAGCGGAATTCCTCTGTTTCCTAGTTACTTACTTATGTGGTTACACTGTAGCATTATCTGACTTCACAGGGTGCGTGTGGTGGTTAATCGAACATAGTCTGTAATCGCGTAGCCCCATGCACCCCACAAATGGAACGTCAGCTTTTGAGGGGGGCATGTAGACGTGTCGTAGTGAGAGGGTAAGGTGGAAAGGGGGTGTGGGTTTTACTATTGGGGTTTCTCTTGCCCAGGATGAGAAAAATACTACCCAGGCAACACTTTCTCTCACGCTGTGTACTAGTAAAGTGTAAACTTGTCAGCATCCGCCAAGTCAAGTGGCAGTGGTTCCAGGACGGAGGCTTAAAAGTTTGTGGAATGACGGTGGGTTACCCAGAATGAAGAAGCGTTTCCCAAACACCACGGGAATCACACAGGGCACGTTGTAAGGGCATAAGAATCACCTGTGAGGCTTGTTAAAGCTATAGATTCCTTATGCCCTGACCACTGAGTTTTCAGTATAGAAAATGGGACCCGTCAGCACCTGTGAGTCATTCCAGGTGGTCACATTTTGAGGCAATGGCTGTAGCGCCTCTCAAACCCTAATGAGTGTGCAGGTGGTGCCAGGATCTTGTCAAAATGCAGCCTGAAGCTCACTCAGCAGGTCTGGGTAGTGCCGGAGACTCCGCATTTCTAGCGCAGTCCCAGGTGGTGCTTGAGAAACTCTAACTCGCCCCAGTACCTTTGCATGTCCTTTTACAACTAACTTGCTGCCTCCTTGTTTCTGACTGTATATATGTGGGCTGAGTTTTACCTCCCTTTATATCTTCTGTTTAATATCATTTTAAAAGACTCACCTTGCTTATCCCGTCCTTGTTCCTTTTTCTTTTCATGTATCCAGATGTCCACCCGTCGCGTCTTGAGGTGCCATCAGCTGTAACCGAGGATCCAGATCCCAAGACCACCATAGCCAAGTACTCCCAGCCCCAAGAACCGAAGACCATGGAGCTCTCGGACAGCGACCGCCCAGTCAGCTTCGGCTCCACGTCATCCTCCGCCTCCTCCCGGGACAGCCACGGTTCCTTCTGCAGCCGAATGACCTTAGTTTCCAACAGCCACTTGGGCTTGTTTCCCCAGGATAAGGAGGCAGGGGCCATAAAGCTGGAGCTGATTCCAGCCAGGCCGTTTTCCAGCAGCGAGCTGCAGAGGGAGAGCCTGGCCGGGCAACAGCACGCAGACGCGGACAGCGGCGAGAGGCAGTCCCGGACGCCGAGGAGAGCGGAGGCCCACGGGGCCACTGAAACCAGTGCGGAGTCGGCCAACAGCCCCAAGCTGCTCTACGTGGACAGAGTTGTTCAGGAAATCCTGGAGACCGAACGGACGTACGTGCAAGATTTAAAAAGCATCGTAGAGGTAAGGCAAACTGTTTTTTGTTTTTTTTTAACTTTGTCATTCAGGATAAATATGTTTGCAGAATAAAGAGCAAAGCCAGGTGTCTGGGGTGTGTGTCAGCTGAGGTGCAGAGGTGGTGTGAACAGTGAAGCAGATTATAACTTAAGAGAAACCCCAGGGCCGTACTCCTTCTGTCGGAATCCTCTTACGATTTGCGTTCACGAATCGATGATGCATTAGGAGCGAGAATGACGATGCCGGTGCGTTCGCCAAGGTGCTGTGTTGACAACTGCACCGAAGGTCAGAGTGCCTGGCGGATGGTGGAGCAGGCAGAGGGTGGGGGCGGGACCTCAGGACTCCTGGGCTGCAGGAGTCGGGTGGACCTGGACCGAGTCCGTCAGGCTGTCCTCACCTTAATCACAACGGCCTGCTGGTGTCTGGGAGCTTCCAAAAATGCTGGCCCCCTTGTCCTACCTCCAGAGACTATAATTTCATGGGCCTGGGGTGTGACTGGGTGGGGGGGGTTGTGAAAGATCCCACGTGACTCTCATACGCAGACCAGCTTGGGAGTTGCTGTTCTGTGCTGTTCTCGGCATCAGTGGGCGTTTGGCAGAACGTGGTGAAGGGTGAAGAAAATCAGTGGGCTTTGTCTTGTCCTGGGAATTTCTTATAACTTAAGAAAGTCCCTGTTCACTGTTCACTTTTACTGGTTCGCTCTGTTCACTTTTATTGTCAACAGTTTTGCATAAATTAGTTGACAGCTCATGTGCCAGCGTTCATACTCTGGAAACTCAATTCTTAATTTGACTTTGATTTATAGATAGGTTTCTAGGGATTAAGAATTACTCATTCACCGTCAGTGATAAAAATATTAATATTTCAAAGGCACATTTGTGTATTATAAAGTCACCCCCACTTTGCTGCCCAGTAATATATCAAATTCTTTCATTTTTCAGTGCCTACTTCCTGTTTCAGATGTTTAATCTAAAACGTCTCAGAATATAGAACATTTACTGATGAAAATATTTTCTGCCAAATATATACATTCTTATAGCTTTAGCAAAAACAAAAAAAAATCTAAGGCATGATTGTGTGCTGAGTTCCACAGATAATAGAACCAGACAGTGCCTACTAAAAATAGTTATGACATAAGTTCCCAGTAAAAATAGAGAAATCGATTGATGCTCAACCAAAACAATATGTGATACCAAATGTCAAGTAAGCCAGGCCAGTGGTTCTGTAATTGCAACAGTGATGTCATTCGTACTTGAGAAGAAATACCTGTGAAACTGCCAACGTTTTACAGCCTCTTAGGAAAATTATGGTTGTCAAAGCTTTCTGGGTTTATCCTTTTTCTTTCTTTCCTGGAGACTTTTCCGCCCCATCAGAACTTGCTAGAGTGAGAGAGGAGCCTTTAGTTACGGAGCTGGTGCTCCATGTCCACGCGCCCTCCCTCTGGGCTGGTGGGTCCCTCCCAGGTGAGAGGGAGTGAGGTTCGATGTGCGGGAAAGAAAACAGACCGAGAGGACTGGCGGGTAGGTCGCTGTGTCTGCTGGCTCCAGGCCGCGGTCCTTTCTCCTTCCCGAACAAATCCTTTTTGGTGATAAAAAGAATATTTGCTAAGAACGTTTCAGTAAAAATTCTATTTCAAGCTATCCAAATGGTCTTGCCTGTTTTTCTTTATCCACGAATTAGCAATGTTTTACCTGAGGGGCTGGTGGGCATTTTCTGTAAAGAGCCAGATAGTAAGTATTTCAGGCTTCCTGGGCCCTGCGATCCGTCACGACTGCTCAGCTGTAGCTCAGGAGCAGCCATAGACGCTATGGCAATGAATGGGCGTGGAAGTTCCAGCAAAACTTTAGGGCCAGGTTTGACCCAAGGGCCAGAATGTGCTGACTGCTGTATTAGACTGTAAATTCGTGCCTACACTTCATCAGCTGGGGAATGAGGCTAATAAACAATACCTGCCTCATAGGGTTATTATTCTGGGAATTAGATTAGATAATATATTAAAAGCTCTTATAAGTCAGACAGGTGTGAGGTTTATCAGAATGATCGCCTAGTACGTTATGTAATCTAATCACTGAGGTGTGCCTCTGAAACTAACGTAATAATGTATGTCAACTGTAATTGAAAAATTAAAAAACATATATAAAAAAAGAAAAGCTCTTACAACAGTGCCTGGCATGTGGTAAACAATTAATAAATAGAAATTATCAGCCTGGCTGGTGTAGCTCAGTGGATTCAGCGCAAACTGCGAACCAAAGTGTCGCAGGTTCGATTCCCAGCCAGGGTACATGCCTGGGTTGCAGGCCATGACCCCCAGCAACCGCACATTGATGTTTCTCTCTCTCTCTTTCTCTTTCTCCCTCCCTTCCCTCTCTAAAAATAAATAAATAAAATCTTAAAAAAATAGAAATTATCATCATCACCAACCTCCTTTGAATTTGCTAGTTGAGAGTAACTATTCCATCTTACCTAATAGGGACTTTCAGAGAAACATGAGTCAATTCACTACAGTAGAAATTTAATGAGCAAAAAAATTTTAAACAACTGATTCCAACATTATTACTTGAATGCAGGTGGATTATTTCTAGTGAATCCACTGAAAATTTAAGGTGGAACAGGAAAGAGGAGGAAGAAGGGTGTTGCGAGGGAGGGTGATTGGGGGGAAGTGTCCCAAACGTAGAGGGGGCACCCAGGTGGGAACTAGGTGCCGCTCCCCCTTCCCTCGCTGCCCTCAGCTCCCGCGTGTGTCAGTGTACACGTACTCTTCGTTTATTGTGTGACGGCATAGACGGGGTCAGGGTAGGTGGCGGAGAGAAAGATGCTCTTCACACATTGTGAAGTGAAACACCTTGGAAACTATTCTGCTCATTGCAGGATCTTGGAGAAGAGGCTGCTGTTTGTAGGGAGGCATCAGCGCTTTGGAAAGGGAACTCTCTCACGCTGGGAAGTGGGCCTTCTCCTGTGTTTGTGCAGGATGAAGCAGGAAACCCAGGGACCCTGCCTGGGGAGTCTGCACCGTGACTCCACCGTTTGCCCTGCCCAGAGACTTAGCTTTTAGGCTCACAAGGTGACTGAAATGTGGATGGAAGGGAGTCTGAGCTGGCTTTTGTCCCAGGCCACCCCTCCCTCAAGGACTGCACTGTGGATCTGAGGTGGTTTCTGATGAAGCGTGGCTTCCCACTGATCCTGTGGGAGACAAGGTCGTTGAGGGTGGGAGGGGTAGTTCCTGTCTCTGCCTCTCTCTCCCTGAACTGTAAAGGACTGACTCTGTGTGGGCCTTCCCGGGACCAGCCGTGGCTGCTCAGGACCCTTGACGAGCGGAGAATGGTCTCGAACCAGGGGAGAAGGCCGGTGGGAATAGGTGACTTGTTGTAGATGGTGTTGTCTTGGTACTTGCAGGTGTCCTCACTCGATACTTTCCTTCCAGGTGAAACAACAGTTACTACACTGACACTTTTTATGAAGTTCATGGAGACTAAAGTTCTTGAATGCCGAGGGAAATGTGTGTTCAACGCTAGAGTGTAGGACTCGGCAGGGATCATCTTTAATGAAGGCTTGTTATGTGGGTGGATCTAATAAAGATCTTACACTGTGGTACTTGGCACAGTTTAATGTACCTTTTCTTTATGTGGCATTTGAGCACTTTTATTTGAATGTCTCTATTTGTTGTTCCCTCTGAGGGCTTTTATCATAATGGATGAATGAGATCTTTCTTAAAACCATTTAAGATCTATAGTGTTAGGAGGAAACCTGTTAAGTAGTTTTATGCTCATGTAGAAACCATCCCTGAAATAGCACATCTGATCACTGTGCATAATCCCCAAATCTCGCTATTTATTTTCATGTCTTTTTGTTGTTGTTTATTTTTGTGCCCCCCTTCCTACCTATCCTGTCTCTCTCTCATCTCTGGCTGCTCAACAGTGACAAAAATCGAGAAGGTGGGGACACTGTGGTTCTGAGTGTCACTCTCTCCTACCCATTGTCACCTCCTGTGGGAGGGAGCGTGGGGGCCAGCCTTTTACCTCTCTCCAAGCCTGATGGGTTTGCCCAGTCTGAGTGTTCTGTTACTGCCTTCTGACTGATTGCTAATGAGCAATGAAAGGAGTTCAAGGTGAGCAGCATGCAATGAAAGCCGAGTGAGTGGAGGTTTGCAGAGCTGCTGTGCAAAAGGAGCCGTTGGCCGCTCGTGAGAACTCGTGTGTGTGGTTAATGACTGGTGGCAGTTTAGGTTATTCAATTACACATAAATTTCTACAGCCAAATCTTCATATATGACCAGTCTTGGAGTCAAAATTAAGGAAAGTTATTTAAAATACCTACACCGGTCAGATTCTCGTGCAAGCTTGGAAGACAGGGAGTGTGACCAATGCGACACCTGAAGCTTTGTGACCTGTATCACCTCTTGGATTCCAACAACTGTGAATATCCTGCATAGCTACTACCACTTCTAAATTTTCTAGAATTGTGCCTCAATAACAACAAAAACACAAAAAATTATAATATTAACAGCCACTATTACTTGAGTGTGTACCATGTATCAGGACTGGATTAAGCACTTGCATCCTCACCCACAGCCCCATCATGTGGGCACTATTGTAATTTTCCTGTTTTAGCACAAGAATATCGAATGTACAGAAGGTGAATTAACTTGCCGTAGGTCACGTAATTGTTCGTGGTAGAGCTGGAAGTGGAACCCAGCTTTTACCCAAAGAACATGGCTCCTACTACGAGTCCACACTGTTATCACAAATCTCTCAGAGTGGAGCAGAGAATTCAAAGATTTTGGTCATCTTCCAAAGCCCTTAGGCTCTCCAGAGCAGGGTTTTAAAGTGGCAGCACCATGCACATTTTGGGTTGAATAAGTCTTGGTTGTGGGTGTGTGCATTGCAGGATGGTTAGCAGAAAACCAGACCCCTACCCACTAGGTGCCAACAGAAGCACCACCATCCCCACTCATGGCAACCAAAAATGTCTCTAGACTTTGCCAAGTATCCCTGGAGGGGCAGAATTGC